GAAAAACCAGTTCAGTCTTTAAAGTTTGAGTTTCGGATGAATCCCTGCATGTGTAATGACAGTGTTTTCATTGTCTGTGAGATAATGACTGTTTATGTAAGTTTTAGCATCCCATATATGACCAGTAGAGAATGTAATTGCTTGCCTTCATTTAGATATCAATAAAATACAATGACGATATAAAGTATTACTTTACCAGATCAGATCATTTTGCAATTGCTGATATCAGTAATGCTGCTATCTAAAATATGGAGCAGATTTATGACTGTACCACACCCAGTACAAAGAAACACACAGAGCTTCTGCAACACATATGTAAGTAAGCAGAGAAACTAGAAGAACCATGTTATAAAGTCAAAGGCAGAAATGATCGAATAGGGAAAGAAAAAGAAGATGTTGGCTGCTTTAATCACAGTTTTTGATTAAAGTCCATATACATCTACATGTATCATATTTCAATGTTTTCTACATTCATTTGAAAAAGTTCTGCATTCCTCGAGAAACTTCACAGCACTGACAATAAGGGACATGGTGATAGAAAGAAATTTGAAATGTATAGAAAAATTATGTTTTTTGCAATTTATTTATTATATTTAATTTATATTATATGTTTTTGCATTCATTCGCAAAAGTTTTTGTTACCCTGATAAACTGCAGTTTGCAAAAGTTTTGTATTCTTCAGAGAAACTTCACAAAATGATGATGGAAAATGATATGAAACCCCTAAAGGGACATGTTGATGGAATAATTATGAGATGGGAGGAAAAAAATATTTCAATGTTTTTGCATTCTCTCCCAAACATTTTGCATGTGTTCGCTTGCAAACTCTTTTACGTATAATTTTCCTCCCATTTCATATTTTTATATCGGCCTATTAAAAAAATTAGGTTGGAGGGAAATCATTAGAATTTCTGTGATGGATCTATTGTTTTTTTTCAGCAGGGACGTTTCATGAGTAAAAGCAAATGAATTGAAATAAATGTTTTCCTTCCATATCTCTCAGTGCATTGCACATTTCCAGTTCGCCTCTTTTATCAGTAGAAAATTCTCACAGTGAAAGTAAAAGGCTGACTAAGACTCATTAATAGATTAACTCCTGCATTGCATGCTTACAAAAGCGTGCACATAAACATGTCCTTTAAATCGATATGCTCACGGTCTTGCATTAACAAGGTGATCTTTTAATCCAGGAAAACATTCTCTGAATTTGTGATTAAAAATAGAGCAAGAAAGAACTTGTTTGGAAGCAGCGCATATGGATCAAATAAATCTTGTCATTCAGTATCTTATGAAATTCACATCATTCTACACCTTATAACTGCAGGCACATTCGCTCACTTAAACGCGATGAATCACTTGACACATAGCCTTCACTAAATTCACAAAGCACATTGTTTTCATTTGATTGTGTAATGACAGCTGTACAAGGGTACAATGTAACTTTGTAAATGTGTTCAAACTAGCAATTACGCTACTGATGTATCTTAATGCAACATTGACGCTTAAATAACTGCTGATAGAAATGAACCAGTTGAATTGCATGGTCATGCTTTCCAAAGCAATGCTGCAGCTCTCAGTTTAAACTTTCTTACACATAAGAGAATTTTCGGAGATAAAAGTAAAGACTTCTGGAGTGGCGTATCTGAGTCATGGCTTAAGCTCTCAGAAAAAGACTGTTACGCAAGACAATTAGCACCATGCCAGTATGTCTCCAGATGGCTCTTGTGCAATTTAAAAGTTCACTTTGGAAAATGTTTCTCTCACTCGTTCTGTTTTTGTTCTGTTCATGTTTGCAAAGACAAAGGGAGGTCTGTTCTGGGGAAGCTGGCAGCATTCCATGCGCAAGAGCCCATTTCACTGTGTGGTTTTAGCTCGCTGTTTATAAGTGTTTATCACATCCAGCACTCCGTTGCTTTGGAAACCCCGCTGGCAGGCGCAGGTCATCCTGTCAGAGCGCTGTAACACAAACCTTATGGCTGTAACATGAGACCCTATGCAGACATGCATGGGAACATCAAGTTCTACACATCAAAACAATCACGTCCTGTGAAAAATGTTGCAGGTTATATATGCATTCATGTTTTAAGATAAGATGTGCATTTGTCTTGGTGTTTCTTGTCTTTTGCACATATCCCTGGGCTATGAGCTCTCACTCAGAGCTCATTCCAACAATTCATGTCATTTCACCTGCCAGATCCTCTGCCTCTAGGCATGTTGGGCGGAGAGTGAAGTTTTGAGTTCATATTCTCCCCTCACCCCCTCCTCCATCTTTACCTCCACCCACCCTTTACCTCATCCCACAAACATATAAAAATCAATCAGCCTCGTCTGTGCACCACATTCCCTCTCCTTCCAGCAAAAAGACTCTCTCCTCTGCACCCCAGCAATGACGTCCTATAGCAGCCAAAGTTTCATGTCTTCTGGAGGGGGTTTCGGTGGAAGCTCCCTGCGGGGTGCTTCTATGGGAGGCATGTCTCAGTCAGCCATGATTGGTGGTGGAGGCGGTGGCCGTATAAGCGCCATGCGTGCTGGCAGCGTGTATGGGGGTGCAGGAGGCCACGGGGTCCGTATCTCCACCGGGGCAAGCACCTTTGCAGCTGGTGGCGGCGGCGGTGGTAGAGCCGGCTTCGGCTTTGGTAGTGGTGCTGGTGGCGGAGCAGGGTTCAGCTTTGGTGGTGGCGCTGGTGGCGGAGCAGGGTTTGGCTTTGGTGGTGGCGCCGGAGGAGGCGATATGGACCTCAACGTGACTGTCAATGAGAAAGCGACCATGCAGAACCTAAACGACCGTCTGGGGACCTACCTGGAGAAGGTGCGCTTGCTGGAGAAGGCCAACGCAGATCTCGAGCTGAAGATCAGACAGTTTTTGGAGAACAAAACTTCACCTGCTGCGAGAGATTACTCTGCCTACCAGGCTACAATCAGCGACCTGCAAGATAAGGTACTGCTACTGTAAACATCTCATGCACAAGATACTGTTTTCATAGCTGCAGGATTAAGGGTGTGGTCATGTTCTCATTGAGTTTTCTGCACATCAAATTGAAACAAAGCCATGCATTTCTGCAACGTACTGTTATGGGTTACCTCCCAAAATGGGTGCAACAGACAATATTTGCATGTAGATCTTAATAATGCATATTTGGAAGCTATGCATTTGCAAGAACATCATTATTTGTCTCTGACAGATCCAAGATGCCACTCGTGTCAATGGGGGAGTCTACCTGGCCGTCGATAACGCAAAATTGGCCGCCGACGACTTCAAGACTAAGTAAATGCAAACCTACAGTGTATGCAACCCTTATACTTGGGGGAAAAGTTGCTAATAAGCCACTCTGTGTGATTCATTCAGGTATGAGAACGAGTTGGCCATGCGTCAATCTGTGGAAGCAGATATCGCTGGGCTGAAGAGACTCCTTGATGAGTTGACATTGGCAAGATCCGACCTGGAGATGCAGATTGAAGGCTTAAAGGAGGAGCTTATCTTCCTCAAGAAGAACCACGAGGAGGTAAAAACCTGTCAAATTCAATCATGCTGTTTGATTGCTATCAACATGACAAGCAAGATCTTTTGATCATTCCAAAACAGACATGTTCCTCTGACCTTGCCATAAAATGAACTAACAAAGCTGTCAAATGTGATGCTGATAAGTGCTATAAATTTCAGGGAATGTGCCTCGGGGGTCATACATCATCTCAAGTTCTTCTTCTCTTTGTAGGAACTGGCAGCCATGCGCAGTCAGATGACTGGTTCAGTGAATGTGGAGGTGGATGCAGCACCTCAGGAGGATCTGAACCGTGTGATGGCTGAGATCCGAGAGCAGTACGAGGGAGTCGCTGCCAAAAACCGGCGCGAACTAGAGGCCTGGTTCCAAACCAAGGTAAAAGAGAGCACAAAACTAGCCTAGTTTTGGTCTTTGGTGACGCTTAACTAAACTCTGATTGTTATTTATCTGCAGTCAGAGACACTGACTAAGGAGGTTGCGGCCAGTACAGAGACCCTCCAAGTGTCCAAGACTGAAATCACTGAGCTTAGACGCACCCTTCAAGGCCTGGAGATCGAGTTAAAATCTGAACTCAGTAAAGTAAGTGTTTTAGGATCCATCTATACCAACATTTTAAGCCATTCTAAGCTGGCCTTAGCTGGTGTAATTGGTCTCCAAACTGGTGCTTGTAGATATTTGTATAGGTTACCAAACCCCTCTGAAACCAGCAAACTAGACAATCCTGACAATGCTTGGAACCTGATAAGAAAAGCAATTCCATCTTAGGCTTGGTTAAGATGTTTTTTTCAGCAGGCTGGTTGAACTTCTACTATTTTTTACCCAACATATACTTATTATTCCAGTCTACGCTAATAAATACCACCTTCTCTCTATTCTACAGAAAGCGTCTCTTGAGGGAACTCTCGCAGATACAGAAGCGCGTTACTCCATGCAGCTGACTCAACTACAGGCTCGCGTAACAAGTCTGGAGGAGCAGATCGTTCACCTCAGAGCCGACACGGACAGACAATCTCAGGAGTACAAAATGCTGTTGGACATCAAGGCCCGGCTGGAGATGGAGATCGCGGAGTACAGGAGACTGCTGGACGGAGGAGCAACCAGGTAGGAGATGTTGGAAAACTGATAGTGATACTGTAAAATGAGCATTCTTTTTGGGTTTTGCCATTTCTGAAGAACTTATCAACACTTTCTCTCTTTTGTCAGCGTCACCACTACTGGTGGAGGAGGAGGAGGAGGAGGAGGAGTGAGCTCTACCAAAACCGTCATGGTGAAGACCATTGTGGAAGACATTGTTGATGGGCAAGTGGTGTCAACTACTACAAAATAAACACCAAACACGACTGTCACACCAGTTTTCAGGCCTTCCACTGTGATCCACTTTTTGAGAATAAAATCAGTGATGCCGTGGTTTGTGTCATGTTAAATCTGTTTACTGTTTTAAATCAATATCAAAGCATTGTTTCTGAAAGGTTGGTGATACATTTTGAGATTTGTGCTTGCAGTACATCAGGCATGTGATTGTCATTTAACAGAGAGCTGAAAATCAGACTGGTTTGCAGAGAAAAAAAAACGAATTCACATTCAGATAATCATGTTCATAATCTACCAAAAAAGTAAACTTTCAATTGCTTCATTAACTGTGTAAGTGTGCAATACAGAGGTCTTAAACAGAAGGCATGTGGTGTCCACAGCTGCAGCGTGTTAGTCATCTCGCTCATTAACATCCACACTCTCGCTGCTCTCCAAGATCTTCCCATTCACGATGGTTTCCAACACTGTGATCGTTTTGGTGACAATTTCTAAAAACAGACAAAGGGAGATGGTTAATTAGCAATGCACTACAACGCTTCATAGTGGTGTAATATATTTAATATACAAAATATATATTTTATTGTAAAACAGTCACTTACTGTGGAACTCCCTGTAAAAACAGACAGAGAGTTGGTGTCAGTAAAGCATTTAAGAAGTGTAAGAAGTACACTTTTTAACTTTGAATTCAGCATCCACTAAATCACAAGATATTCAACTTCAACAAGATATTCAAGAAATGATTTTCTTGAGCATCACCTCTTATCTCCATCCAGCAGTCTCCTGTACTCTGCAATCTCACGCTCCAGTCTGGTCTTGACGTCCAGCAGCGTTTCGTACTCTCGCTTGTTGTTGCCAATGTTAGCATGAAATTGACTAAACTGGTCCTCCAGGCTGGTAACAGTGGCCTGAAGCCTAGCCAACTGGTCCCCATAACGGGCCTGTGTTTCCTCCAGTTCAGCGTCAAGGGCTGACCTCTGTGTATAGGCATTATATATATATATACATACCACCCACACACACAAACATGTATATATATATATATATATAAACATATCTATACTGTATATGCATATGTAGACTGCATTTAAATACATATATAATAATAATAATAATTGTTATAATAATTGTTATTTGGTGGTGCAGTAGGGTAGAATTACATGGAAACAGTGCTAATAATCTACACTTTTGAAACACTATCTCCTGTTTAAACAGTCTATCTCTTGTTCTTCTAAACGTGTAACCACAGGAAATTACAGCACATTCCCCCTTAAAACTTAAAGCTGGCAGAGCGCTGGTTGGTGAACTAGAGGGGGTGAGGCTGGAGCAAAAACAGCCTGGCACAACACTTTCTGCCAAGACATGTTGCCACAGACTTGAAAATTTTAATGCATTGCTTCTTCACTTTAACCTACAAGGTAGTATAGAAAAGCAAGTTTTGCATTACAAATAAATGTGTATTTATTTGTAGGTTTGTAGGGTGTGCAGGTTTACCATGCTCTGATGGGTCTGCAGTTCAATCTGTAGTCTTTGTAAGGTGTTTGTCAATTCCTTCAGCTCTGTTCTGCTGTTCTGAAGATCTTCATTTTGTGTGACCACCTCCTGTTGCACTGTGGCAATCTGCAGCCAACAAAAACAACTATAACATCACATGCATCCCACTATAAAACAGTATTTTGGCCTGTTAATCACAGATGAGCGACTAAGTCTATGTGGTTAAAACTGAAAACTCAAATCAGTTATTTTCAGAAGTGTAAGACCTTATACACTGAAAGAAATTATACTAAATTTTTTTAAGTTAATGGTTGTAAACAATTTATTTTAGCTACATTTAAAATAATAAAAAATTATTACAAAATAATTATTTTTTAAATAAAAAATAATGTTGATGTCAACTAACTAAATGTCAACTAAATTTGTTTATTTAAATGTAGCTAAAATAAATTGTTTGCCACCACTTACCTAAAAATATTCAGTAAATTCAATGAATTTTTTTTTTTTCAGTGTACTTAAGTTAAACAGTAGTTATTGTGTCAAAATTGTACTTAGTGGAAAGACAAATGATCAAGAAAACCTGAGTAAAAGTAAAGGTTTCCACATTATAATTGTTCTTAAATAAAGAATAAAATTATTGTCTTTTTTCTGATAAGAAGTCATGATAACCTGCCATATATGTAATTTGCATTTTAAAAATAGAAATGAAGAACTGGGTAAAAGTGCAGGGATTCAGTTTCAGAGTACTCAAGACACCAAAAAGAATACTTAAATGTAATAAAGTCACTTAAGTACAGATGCATTTGTGGTTTTAACTTCACCTTGGTCTCATACCAGGACTCCAGCTCTTTACGGTTTTTCTCAGTCACAGCCTCATAGTGTTGTCTGATCTCAGTCATGGCCTGGTTCAGATCCATAGAGGGCGCTGCATCCACACAAACGTTCACCTGACCTCCAGCCTCAGCACTAGCCAGAGACATCTCCTGTGAAAAAACACATATCAGAAAATGTGTGATCTGCCACAGAGGTGGGTTGTATTATGAATGCTGACGTGGCATTAATCATCTATTTGCAGATTTAAGAGGAATAGAAGTGGGAGTGGTGGGATGAGCCTAGTTTTTTAATCCTAAGCATGTCTGGACGATATCAGGAGAAAATGAGCTTTTCCCTGGTTGATTTCTGTTTATTATATAACAAATTTATCAGCTGTAAATTTGCGAAAAGTTTTCTTTAGCATGCGCCTGAGTGCATTTACGCATGAACGATGACCTTACAGAGACCCAAGAGGCCCAGTGATATTACTGTTTAGTTTAAAATGATGTAATGGAATGGAAAACCCCAGCAGAGCAGGCAGCTGAAGAACAAGAGGAAAAAGGAAAAATTGAAGGAAGGAAGGAAGGAACACTCTTAATGACCCTGTGTTTTTCTGGTGTGGAAACTGTTATCTTTGAAAAGGCCGATTGTGTGCAGCTCCAGAACCATCCAGAACAGAATCATTTTCCGTATTTGTCTTTCAATTGTTTTAGGCAAAAAAAATAATAATTCCAAATAAAAAACAAATTTTCCTTTCATTTAGTTTAGAAAACTACATTCAGTTTAGAAAACATACTGTTCAAATGTTTGGGATCACTATGATTTATTTTCACTATGATTTTCTGATACTTTTTTTCAGCAAGGATGCATTAAATTTACTAAAAATGCAGTAAAGACAAAATAAATTATATTTTAAATAAATGTTGCTCTTCAAACTTGTTGTTCATCAAAGAGTCCTGAAAAAAAAAGACATTATATAATGGTTGCCACACTTTAAGCAGTGCAACCATTTTCAGCTGCAATAATTTATGTCTGAAAAATCAGGTTTGCAATCACAGGGAAAAAAATGTAAAATATATTAAAACTAGTGCTGTCAAACTATTAATCGCGATTAATCGCATCCAAAATAAAAAATTTTGTTTACGTAATATATGTGTGTGTACTGTGCATATTTATTATGTATATATAAATACACACACATGCACGTATATATTTAAGAGAAATGTGTTATGTTTATATACTAAATATATTTATATATAATATAAATTATATGAATATAAATATATACATGTAAATACAGGTAAATATTTTCAAAATATATACTGTATATGTGTGTATTTATATATACATAATAAATATACATAGTACACACATATGTAAACAAAAACGTTTATTTCAGATGCGATTAATCGCGATTAATCGTTTGACAGCACTAATTAAAACACAAAACACTAATACAATATTGCTGTTTTTACTGTATTTTGGACAAAAAGCAGCACTGGTGAACACGAGATTATTGTTATATAAGAAATCCTACAATTTTTGTGTATAACATATACGACGGTGTATACATTATCACTCTTTTATATCAATGTTTTAATATATTTATGGTATGCAACTGAATCTACAAGTTTCAAAGTTTGTGTGTCACTGTGAAATATAAGGTAATCTTATATCTGGATATGAGTTACAGGTTTTTAAGAGCTGTGCTGTGTTCAGTGAGCACCAGGGTGTGCGCCCGTCTCTTTGTGGAAAGGCTGGAATGTGAGGAGTGGTGGAATCTCACACTGAGAGAAGATCCACGTCTACTTTTGAATTAAATAGACCTTTCAGAAAGCATAAACAAACAGAATCTTTATTTGTCTTCACAATGTCGGCACAATGGACTTATAGGGACAGACTCACAGAAACTGGGCGTTTACACTTACAGTGATTTGCCGTGACAAAGAAACAGCATTCGTTTTCAATAATACTTGATAATGGGCAATATTGTATCCCCCTTGGATCGCAAGAGCAGGTCAAAAATGCATTGTCTTATTGCAATAACTTCTAGATATTATATCATATTGTATCTTAATGTAGATATGCAAAACAGTCCAGTTTTATCAGTCGCAGTAATTAAAATAATGGTGGTGAAGTACTTGTATATATGCTAAGCTAGCAGTCTAATCAGCTAGCAGTATGCAAAGGTACAGGCTAACCATTTAGCTTGCAAGCTAACTTAAAAAATATATAATGTAGCCTAATCTAATGGTGTGTGTGCACACCAAAAGCGAAGCAAATACTTGCATTGCTTGCTCTAGATTAGGCCTACTCGCAAGATGTTTTTTGCATCACTCGCGCGAATAAAAAATTTTTTTGTCATTAAGCTCTTTGCTGATTGGTTTGCGCGACAACGCGTCATGCAAATTTTCCGCTCAAGTTGAACATTTTCGCTTTTGGTGTGCACACACCATAACACTTTAGATTAGGAACACTATTCACTTAGTTGCCTATGCATATTACTAGCATATTGGTTGTTTTTTAGTACTTACAAAGCACATATTAATGGCTTAGCCTATTCTACCTAAACAGTACCTAAATAAAACCCATAAAACACATATTCACTTGCTATTTACTAAGAGTTTTTGCTGCTTTTGATAGTAACTAGGGTACAGTAGTTGTTGTAGTGGTTTTATTTAGGTACTGTTTAGGTAGAATAGGCTAAGCCATTAATATGTGCTTTGTAAGTACTAAAAAACAACCAATATGCTAGTAATATGCATAAGCAACTAAGTGAATAGTGTTCCTAATCTAAAGTGTTATTGAAATGGTTTATTTGAACAGCTCTGAGTCTTAATCGCATCACCGTACCACATCACCATGGCGATATTTACTGTATACAGTGTGGTGTAAATGTTTCCAGGTTACTTGTGCTTATATAACAGCTTTGTGTAAAACAGGAATCAGCTTGTGGGTGGAATATCTGAATGACCAGTCGCATGGGCAATGCCCTAAATAGAAATCCTGTCATGGCAATATTACCGCTGTTTACATGCTAGAATTAGCTCTTTATGAATAGATAATAATACACTGTGGAACTAAACAACAATCAGCTGAGTTCTGTCCATTTTAATTCAATGAAATAGGTTCTTTTTTAAAGAGACAGAACGGGCATATAACCACACTGAAGACTGCTCAGCGAGGCAAAGATGGGAAATATGTGTAATTTATCGTACCTCCTCGTGGTTTCTCTTCAGTATGATGAGCTCCTCGTTCAGAGCCTCAGTCTGCATCTCCAGATCCGACCGCCTCAAGCTACACTCATCCAGAAGTTTCCTCAGATTGGCGATGTCGGCTTCAATGGCCCTACGAATGGCCAGCTCATTCTCATACCTGCGGTGATGGTTCACAGAATTAATTATCATTTAATGACCAATTAAAACAATCGTAAGACATAAATACTCAGTTTCTCACTTTAGCTTAAAGTCATCAGCAGCCAGTTTGGCATTATCCGCAGCCAGGATTAATGTGGCATTGTCCTGGGAAGCTAATTGAATCTGCCAGTACAAAAGAAAATTTTTTTTTGTATTATACAGATGGTTATACACAAACAGCAGGTGCCAATGATGATTTTTTTGGTAGGTTACAAAAAATACGCCCTCAGAACACTGAATTCCAAATGAGAGGGAAAAAGTGGATTAGTCTATTGCACAATAAACATTCTGGCACCTGGAGTCATTTTATTTTTAGAAGTGGTTGTTGGTGTGGAATTCAGTACAGCCACAGAATGTGGAACAAAAGCCAAATCTGACAACAAACTTGTTCAGTCTGTTTCTTAACATATATTTGTCAAGGTGCCATCGCAGACTAGTCAGTCAGTGAATATATATATATATTTGTTTTAGCTCTTAGTTTATATATACTGTATATTATTTATATATATATATATATATATATATATATAAACAAAGAGA